GGGTCGTCGTGGCGCTGGGTTTTGACCGGCCGAGCCCCGGGAGAAACTCCGGGGTTCCCACAGCTCCTATAGCGACGACTACCGTGTTACGCCCGAACTGCTGTCTGACGCCCATAGGCACGCCCACACGACGGCCACAGCGACGCCTGTGTTGTGGGGGGGTGATGTGGGACTGTTCCAGGAGCAGCGCTGCTGTGGCGACGACACACCCCCTGCTGTTCCCAGGAGGAGTGCGTTTTCAGTGACCCTCTCGGTGCTTGCAGCCCCCGACGGGGCCGCAGCGCCTCGGGAGGGTCCCGATGCGGGGCCTTCGTGGTCTGGATGTGTGGTGGAGGGACGAGGAACACGTGGACCTGTGTCGCCAGGCCCCGGTGTGCACTCGTGTGAGTCCTGTGACACATGTCACTGGACCCAGAATCCATCCCAGGATCGAAACTCAAGAATATTTTTTTTACGTCGCCCATGATCGACCAGCACACTGGTCATTATGACTAACAGGAAGGGGCCCACGAACCCGCCCACTCGCGCCCACAACAGCCCACACACAGACGCTGCAACACTGATGGCAATCCTAGTGGGCGGGTCCTGCAACCCCTGAAAAATTCTTGGCGACACAGCATTGTGGAGAACGCGAGACAGAGGACAACACCTCAGGGTTAAGGTGCCGCCCCAGGGAAGGGCGGTGTCCAGGGTAAGGGGCCCCTAAAGGCCAGTAACCCACGGCTAAGTAACACAAAAAAGGACCCCCAGCGGCCAGAGGACGCAGGCACCCGCTCAGGGACACCTAAGTCGTAGGGACGCCCCCCAGGATGAAGCATCACACTAAATACAGGTCAGTATCACTAGTTTATATCATATTGTTGACACTCCCGACACACACATACACACACACACAACACACACACACACACACACACACAAAACAACACACACACACACACACACACACACACACACGTACGTACGTCCTTCGCAACACAGTACGTGCTTGTAGGGTTCTTCACATAACTGCGCCAGTGGTGGGTGTCATGCAGTTCCATGTACGGCATACTATAGGGCTGTACAATGCTCATTATTCAGTGCTCTGCGTTGTGCGGGTTTTGATCCTCCGCCCCTTTCCTTGCAGTGGATTGAGTAGTGTTTGTTGAAGGGGGGAGCAAGTTTTCTCGTTAGTGGTATAGAGTTGTGTCCATGGTATTACAGTTGCCCTTCCATACCATACTTCTTACCTCTCATTCCCCAAATAACACCTCTCAGTGTATACATACACGAGAGACACACACCTTGAGTGTTTAACCCTACCCGCGCATTGAAAATATACACTTTGAAGTGTATATTCAATGCGCTGTGTAGTTTTAAATTTTTATGAGAGAGAGTAACTGTACTGAGAGAGAGTGACATCAGTGATGCTGCAGATGTTGTTGGTCACAGCTTCCCACACGGTATGGTACCGTGCGCTGGGCCAGCCGCATGCGACGCTGTCCTTTAGTGCGGCCCGAATATTATCTTCTAAACTTTATTTAGCTACCGTTTCACAAAATTAGTTACATAGATTATTATACATAGAATATGTGTAAATTACCTAGGATAACCCCAGAAAAGGTCAGACAAAGTGACTTATTTCTTCTTGGGGTCCTTTTGGTAAGGGTTATTTTTTTTTAAAAGGTTTAATAATTATTTATATTTTACTATGTGAAAAGTAGTTATACTAAAATGAGATATACTGCGCCCAGTATAATTGGTTATATCTTACCCCCTAGTAACTAGGGGTAAGATAAAACCAGTTTTTTACATTAAAGACAGGATCAGATCATAGTATATGTATATTACATATTACATATGCAAGAAATCACTTTCCTTCCTGTAGCCATATTCATTAAGTACTTTTTGGCACTCTTCTTGAACTGGCTCGTGCTGTGACTGGCATTGACATGTACAGGTAGTCTGTTCCATTCCTGTTTGCTGTACAATAAAAGGTGTTTGAAGCCTGGCCACTGACTGTGGCTACACAGTGTTGCGCTCCCTCCCACCAGTGCTATGATTGCTGCCGTTCTCAACCTTGACAAAATTGGCAACAAGATTTTCTGGACACTGTTTGTGGGCGATTTTATAAACTTGATTTAACTTCAGTTGTTTTACTCTGTCTTTAACATTCGCTTATCCAACTGTTGTAATTTATTCTGGTTTACATGTTATCTTGGTCCCAGGTCCAGGATGATCTTGGTCCCAGGCCAGGTGAATCTTGGTCCCAGGCAGGATGAATCTTGTCCCAGGTTCCAGGATGAATCTTGGTCCCAGGTCCAGGATGAATCTTGGTCCCGGTCCAGGATGAATTCTTGGTCCCAGGTCCAGGATTGAATCTTGGTCCCAGGTCCAGGATGAATCTTGGTCCCCGGTCCAGGATGAATCTTGGTCCCAGGTCCAGGATGAATCTTGGTCCCAGGTCCAGGATTTAATCTTGGTCCCAGGTCCAGGATGAATCTTGGTCCCAGGTCCAGGATGAATCTTGGTCCAGGTCCAGGATGAATCTTGGTCCCAGGTCCAGGATGAATCTTGGTCCCAGGTCCAGGATGAATCTTGGTCCCAGGTCCCGGATGAATCTTGGGGCCCAGGTCCAGGATGAATCTTGGACCCAGGTCCAGGATGAATCTCGGTCCCCAGGTCCAGGATGAATCTTGGTCCCAGGTCCAGGGATGAATCTTGGTCCAGGTCCAGATGAATCTTGGACCCAGGTCCCGGATGAATCTTGGTCCCAGGTTTCCAGGATGAATCTTGGTCCCAGGTCCAGGAAAGAATCTTGGTCCCACGTCCAGGATGAATCTTGGTCCCAGGTCAGGATGAATCTTGGACCTCCCCGGTTC